CATGCCTGTCGGCTTCGACGATTTTGGCAACCAGTCCAAGCTGAACTTTGACCAGCCCATCCACGAGTACTTGGGCGAGTCAGGCCCGACTGCTGGACTTCGCCTCAAGATCAACAAGTCTACCGGCAACTTGGCTAGCGATAACCTCTCGAGTCGACTGACTGCCCCCAGTGGACAAGCCTTCTCCAACCGCTACGACTTTGGTGCCTCCCTCACTGCTGCTGTCCAGGCTGCAAAGGACACTATTGGCAAGGACCGCAACCAGGATGGTCTCTACATGAAGAGCCATCGCAAGATTCACGTTCCTGCGCAACAGCTCCAGCAGGCGAAGCCGGCCCCTGCCGTGACCGCTCCCCCTGTCTCAAAGCCGGTTGTAAAGCAGCCTACCGTCCCTGGCACTGACTCTCCCAACCCTTCTCTTGCCTCGTCATCATACGAGGAATTGGTCAACAAATACTGCTTTGTACGTACTTCCGGTCAACAATCATCCATGTCCGACCCTTTCATCATCGACCCTCACCGATCGCCCACTCTCAGCCCAAAAAGCATGTACTGACCTTGGCTATCAACAGTTCGGCTCCAAGCAGTCCAGTCCTCAGATTAAGGATGGCACGTTGAGAAACGGCAAGTTCGACGGAGCTGACGATGTTTTCGCGACCCGTGGATCCAACAGCACCAGCTCGAGCTCCAACGGGAGCCCCAGCATGGCCCACCAAGCGCAACACGCCGGACCCGCACAACACCACGCCTTCCACCTCCGCGACTCCAACCCTTACTTTCAGCACCTAGGGTCTTACGGTGCATCACCAGCCTCATCTCCACTCAGTCAACCTTTGCAAAGCGAACGACCCGCAAATCAACGTCCGAGTCAGGCTACCACCCCAGCAATAATGAGGTCCGCTTCCCCCTCGACCTCGGTGGGTGGCTTCCCTTTCGCCGGTACGTCGCCAAATGAATTTCCGTACGCCCAGCAACTGCAGGAGCGCTTTCCATTCAATACCGAGACTCATGCGGCAACAGCAATTAGGGGTTAACGGCGCCGCTCGCTCCACCATGTAATCGCGATCGTCTCTGCGGTCTCGTCATTTGACTTTTCTCGATTGTGTTTTTGGACGAAAAATTATTTCATCTTATCTTTCGGACATTGGCGTTCAATGGCATTCGACGCCAAAAGGCCAGGGACGGCCATGGTATCGCGGGGAGGCGTTCAAAGAGTCATTCACAATCCATGGCCCTCCATTCGATTTCGCGACTTCCCGAGCATACGAAGGGCATTCGGGGGTCATTGGGAAAACAAACAAAACAGCCTTGCTTTCTTGGTCTTTCATTCGTTGCCCATTCTTGATGAGCTCAACGCAGCGTCGAGGGTTCGAGTCTCCTTTTCGGATGGGTACTCAGGATCGATCTGCATACAAGGAGTTCCTTTAATGCATAATTCGCTCGCACCTTCACTCTTGACCTTCAACAGCGGCTGTCATTGCGCTTCGAATTATCTTGTCATTTGTATTTTGCTCCTTGTCGAGCTTTCTTTCCGCGCACGGCAGAGGATCCAGGACCACCAGCACACGACATTAGGGGTCTAAGAGGGATACTGGCCATCGAATACTTGCTTTATTGGATTGGGATGATACCAGATGACATGAGATTGTCTCTGTCCGCCTCAGGCGGATGATATCAAGGGTGTGCACCGGATCCCCGACCTGTTCAACTACCCCAGTACGCTGCGTGGTATTGACGGGCCTGTCGAGGAGATTCGGTAGCGGTTGGGTTTGGAACGGACAAAAGTTGAGGAACCGAGTCTTGAGATTGATTGAAGCATCGGCTCGTTCGTGACACAATAGGTACCGGTTCATACAATGGGCGTTGGGAACATGGACGCAGTCACTTAACAGAAGCGTTCGGCCATTTGGCTTGATTAGTTAGGGTAGCATGGGAAGACAAAATAACCTGCCATTGCTCGCACATTATTATTCTCTGTCATGTCGTTGCTGTACTAACTCAGTCTTGCGTTCCAATTCATATTAGTGATGCTCTCAACACCCCGCCACATACCCCGGACGCACCTTCACCGCCGGAGCGACACCCTACCCCTTATCAACGTCTTACCTGCCATTGACAATCATCATTTTCAAGTTCTCAACCTCACAACCCATACCATGCGACTGCGACCGCGACCGCGAACGCATAATGATAGTGGCCTTTTAATACTGACCACGGTCAAGTGATCCATTCTCCAAGGTCTTGTCGGTGCTTCATTTCGTTTCGCGGTTTCGGGCAGGGTCGTCGTTTTCGCTTTCGGATTTGGGGGGGAGTTGTACGAGATGAGTGGGGTCGTTCGTGTTGCATGATCTGGGGCGCCCATCGTGAAGGAGGATTCGGTCCCGATGTGTGTGAACCCCGCTCCCGGGGTTGCCAAGGGACGGGATGTTTTGTTGTACATGGCTTATGGGAGAGTGGCGGATGCGAGCAGGATGGGTTGGCGATGGTGAGTACTTGATGGGATATTGGTAGTCTGAAGCATAAGTTCGCTTTCACGATCGCTCAGAAATAGTCCCCCTCGAGGACGAATGCGGACTGTTGGACCAAAGGCCGCCTGGGGTCGAAACACATGGTAGAATGCAGTGGCTTTGGAATAAAACATGCTTGAAGATCTAAAAGCACGCTTGCTATGTCGGACTGGAAGGACAGTTTTGCGAACTGCGGATCGCAATATCCAAGAAGGAGAAACATGCTTGTGGGCTGGCAGTCAGAGCACGTAGACAGAAAGATGTGGTGCCTTGCTAATGGAGAGGACATACAGGAACGAAGATACAGTGCCACTAGAGACATCTGTATTAGCAGTCTCAACGACCTCATCGTCAGCATACGGGTGGCTATACACTCGAGGGGGAATCATGTTAGCATCTCTTATCAATAGTACACCCGTGGCTTGATTAGCCGCATAGAATTGCGAAATAGTAACGGGGTTGGCACTCTTAAGCCATCTGACACGCCCGGGCTTAACTTGCTAAAGGGTTCTCGATAGGTTTTGAACTTCGAATGTTTTAATATTTGCGGCTCTTCTGTGTTCGTCTTTGGTGGCCTCCGGGTTGCGTAGTCCATGGATCCGAGTTAATAGCATCAAAGTTATTGCGACCAGTGGTATTATAATACAATATGCAACACTTCTCTATGGTGCGCCATAAATCCTCCTTCTAAAGTATTTTCACACCATTGCCACAACTCCTTTCCTCCCTCTCACTGCTCAGTCATACCAGGAGGGCACCCGCCAGTATAGTGTTCACATTCCGCAACCCAATCACTACCGTAGCTCGAGGCGCAGTTCGCTTGGGTGATGGGCGTGCCCATAATACACTATAGGTGTCAGCATTGTTAAGGTACTCATAAACACTTGTGGAACGTCTTACCGCCTGGACGTTGGTCGTCTTGTTCACGCAGTATTTATGTCCAGAGCCGGGTTGGCAGAAGTGATAGGCAGCGTGCAGATCGGGGACGCTCTTCTTGTAACAGCTGCACATCCAGGCTGAAACACTCAGAGGAGCGCTGAGATGCGAAGTCAGATATCACTCAAGCAACAAGGTGAGGACATCTTACAGGTACAAAAATGCAAGAATCGCAGCGGCCTTCATTGTGAAATGAGATGGACGAGTAGGACTGTACAATGGGATTGAACGATGAGGATGACGGGGTTCTATACAGATGGTCTAGAAAACTTGGCGTCTTCCATTTTATAACCTGTTTGCTATGTATTTTGACAACCCGCTGAGTCGTGATAGGTAACCTCGACTGACTTGTCGAGACTGGAAATGTGCGTTGCCGAGGCAAAAAGTCTGTCCCTCCCTGTCTGGCTCCTTGCCTTTGGGCTATTATCGCACTAGTCAAATTGAACTAGGTTATCGTAGTTGCCTTTTCGACTTTGGGCGTCCGTCATCCAGCTTTTCATGCTGAGGTTCAGAAGCATCCCACACAGTGCCGATAGTATCCCACCGGATGCTATCAAATGCCAAAAGCTTGGTTTCTCAGAGCGGAATCAGTCAACCCAATGATCATGTAGTTCTATCCTAATTTGGCAATGCTTAGAGTTCTTCAGTCCATGCTGTGGAGTTATGAAAAAAATATGTCAATACGGAGAGTGCCTGCTGACGTCTCGGCGGACCCGACGAGGCGGCACCTTGATATATTAAACAACAATTGAGTTCTTGCAGTTAACAGCCGTGGGAAACGACACACTCTTATCTCGTGTATAGACTCGGAGAGTTTACCCAAAGCAGTAAATAGTACCATAATAGAATCCCAAAGTAGCATGGCCTCCGGCACCCTTCTTATCGTACTTACTTACGTAGGGCCACCTGTTAGAGGCGCCTTGGTGCCGTGATGGTAATCCGGCTCAATGGGCATTCTTCTAGAAGACCCACAAGCCGGCGGAAAAGGCTTGTCCAAAGCTTGTTTTGTAAGCTTGGTACCTAGACAAGCACTTTGTGATCTCAATTTGCTAAGAGTCGCCGGTGAGTGCGAAGGCTCCTCGGCAGACCCCCTACCCTAGGCCACCTGCGTGTTGGGGATATCCAACTTTCACAGATTGTCAATTCTCCCAATATGGACAAATGACAGGAAAGTGAGTGGCCGAGGCCTGGGCACTCTGCCGGTCAAGCTTCGCGCTACTAAACATTTGCTTGCGGTGATGATACAGCCGCGAGTGTTCAAACGCGGGAGATATCTGGAGATACAAGGAACGGAGACATTTTGGATGGTCAATGCCTAAGCACTTTTGTAAATCCCTCACTTTCTGATTTCATTCTGCGCTTTCGGCCATTCGCGGCAGTGTCTCCCCGGCCTTGGGGATGGGCTCGATACTGACTGTAGGACAACTATTTAAAGTCCGCTGGTGATCCCCCAGAAGTTCTTGCCAACTCTAGACTCATACCTGGTCAAGCATTCATTCTCTTACTTCTACTCTCGCTTTATACCTTCCCAGATTATTCACTCTTTCAAATCCTACAATGCGTCTCACAGGTGCTCTCGCTCTGCTGTTGGCCGTTGCCACAGCCTCCCCTGTTGCTGTCGCCGACATTGGATCCAAGGACGTCAAGGAGATCAACGGTCAGTATATCTGATATGACATGTTACCGCAGTCTTCGCGGTGAAACATCAAAGAGAGTCCCTGCTAAAGTAAGGTAATGTAATAACAGGTCTCCCTATTGTCAGCGTCGAGGCTCTACAGGCCCTCGAGGGTCGGGATGTCCTTATCACCAAAGGTAAAGTAGGACTCATCATGACTAAGGTTGCCGTAAGCTAACTACGACAGACGTCATTGCTGCAGGCAAGGCCGATGCCCCCGTGGAGAACTCTCTCCAAGCCAGAGGTACGCATCCTATCCTCATTACCTAGGAAGCCATATTAACACGCCTCTCAGTCTGGCCTGCCTCTCACCAGAGTGACCACTTCAGGGCCGGAAACGGTTGGGCTAACAGAGCCAAGACTCGCATCATCGTCAGCGGAGTTCACCTCGTAGTCACTGCTTAGTTCAACGACATCCATACCATATATTAATAGGTATATAACATAAGGAAGAAGCTTATAAAGGCTAACTACTATTAGGGTTTAAAAAATAAATTACTAAAATTTACCCTTCCTTCGAGGTATATTACTAACGCTTTATATATACCTAAGTTACTTTTTTATTACTTAGTCCCCCTTTTTATATTCCTTAAACTATCCCTTAACTAATAGGGTCTAATTAGCGAGGTTTAATAAAATACTCCCTCTCCTAGGCTTTATTTTAAAAGCTACTTACGGTTTATATACGTTATATTAATCTTTTATTTATAAAGTTTTTTAATATATAGTACGAAGGTAAGTAAAAGTAGTACTTATTAACCCGAGTATAAACCCCTTATTCTAAATAATAAATTTAGTTAGCCCTATAATTTTATACTTAGGTTATTTTTATTTATAATCCGTTTTTATAACTATTAGTACTTAAGTAGTCGTTACCCTACTTTTATTTATTAATATTAACCCCTTTTTAAGCTACTACGATTTTTAATTTTTTTTTTTTTATTTATAATTATTTTAATTATATATAGTTTTTTATTTTTATTAACGTTTATATTACTTTTTTATTACGTAGATCTTATAGCTAATAAATATTTTTTAAATCCCTTAATTTTCTATACTCCCTATATTTAAATTAGTTTTTTTTAAAATTATATTATATTTATTATTAATTTTATTTTAGTATAAGTATAGCTCTTTTTAATAATATTGTTATAATTAGTAATAAACTAGTTATTAGTATTACGAGTACGCTTAGTAATAGTAATAATAACTATTTATTTAAAAAGCTTAATATCCCCTTTACTTACCCTAATTTCGTATATATATTATTATTAATACGCTACTTATATTAACTATTATAAACTCTTATTAAAAAAAAAAAAAAAGTAAACGCTAAGAAAATCGGAGTTAGCTAAGTACGTCCGCTCCCTTACCTTATTTATATTATATATAAAGTATTTAATTTAAAAATTAAGTATTATAATTAGTTAAGTTAATAATTTATAGCCCTTAGTTTACTCCTTTATTTAATACTTTTTTAGGATTTAGTGCGTATTATATAAAGTATATTATATAGAACTATTTTTATAAAAATATAATAAGTACTTAGCGCTATTACTATTCTATTATTTTTTTTACGTATTAATTAATAATATTTTAAGTCCCTAAGTTTACGAAATCTATAATACGAACTTTTTAAAGTATTACTCTTATTTTAAATAATAACGTTTATAATTTAAAAGTTTATTACTCTATTATCGCTTTATTATTATTATTACTTAGGTTACTAATATTACTTTATAGCTCTAATAAACTTATAAAATTATTATTAATAATACGTAAAGGGTATTTAAGCGTACTAATAAAGAGGCTCGTTCTACTCTTATTATTAATAATAATAATAATAAAGTAGCTATAAGCTCCTCTTATATTACGTTTTTATCTTATAATAACGTAATAATTATACTATTACGTACTATTTATAATAAAGTACGCTATTTAAATAATATTTTAGCTATAGTATAATTACCCCGCTTATACTCTATATTTATAATTAATTATTTATAAATTCGTTAATAATAAGGTAATTATTCTTTTTTTAATAATTTTGAGAATAAGAATAAGGGCGGCCTTTTTGTAAGTTATAAAGAATAAAAAAACCGTTTATAATTAGCGCGTTTATATTACTTAGTTATAACTATATAGCCCCCTTTTTTATTATTAGTAACTAGTTCGCTACGTTATTATACTTATTAAAAACTAGGGCGCGCTACTTAATTAAAACTTATTTTTTATATATATTAATTAACGTTACGTTTTCGATATACTTAGCTAGTTCTTATATATCTTTATTATTATTATATTTTTTTTATTAAATTAAGTATTATTGCTTCTTTTTTAGCCTTTTATATTATATAATATTTTTTATTTTATAAAATAGCTCTTTATTTATATTTTTAATAAATAAGGGCTTTTAAAGGGCTTTTTCGTAATATTAATACGGCTTAAATAGGGATATATAAAATACGTTATATATTTTATATTATATTAGTATATTTAATTAGTAAGTAACCCCTACTATTTTAATTATCGATTTAACTTTAAATAGGCTTAAATACTTATTAACTAACTTTTAGCTAGGGTGTTACTTCTTAATATTTTTTTTAATAATAATACTTAGTTACCTATTTTATATAATATATTTATTTTAGTTTTATTAGCTTATTATTTATACGTCTCGTGTATTTTTTATATAAGGGATTATAAAGCTTTTTAATTAGCTTATAATTAGGCTATACGCTCCTTAATTAAAATATTTTATATATTATCTCGAGTCCTTATTAAGATCGATATAGGGTAAGTAAATAGGAACCTAAATAGGGCCTTAATAAATACTTTACGAATTACTAAGTACTAAGTATTATTATATATAAACTTAACTAAGTAAAGACGTTATACTTAATCCGATTAATCCTAAGTATAAAAGTAATAAAAGTACTACTTTAAATATTAGTTTTATTATTTTATTTAACTATTCGTTTATAAGTAAAATATAGTATTAAGATACCTTTTTATTATTAAAAAGTAATAAAAATAAATTTAAAACTTATTTATAAATAACGAGCCCTTATTAAAAACGATCTTTTTAAATATTTTAAATTTTATAAAGATCCTTATAAATAAAAAGTTTGTAAATCCCTAGGCTATAAGGGTTATCCTTATAATAATATAAACGTTATATTTTATAAATCGGTTTATTATAATAAGTACTACGTTATAGGGGCGCTTTTTAATTAGTATAGTTAATATAGGTAAGTTTATAATAAAATTTAGTAATATTTTTTATTATAGTTTAACCGGGGTAAGTAAGGGGTATAATAAGCTATATAGCTTATAATAATAAAGCTTTATTTATTAATATATTATATAAGTATTAATATAACTTTTTATATCCTTATTTACTCTATTTTAGTAATAATAGTATTTTAGTAACGTTATTATCTACTTTATATTATAATATTTTATTATAAGTATATTATAATATATTTTAATAACTTCTTTTTTTAGCCCTTTATATAATAGTACGTAAATACGGCTATTATAATATAATAACCCTCTTAAGTCGTATATTTAGCTTTATTTTTTTTTTTTTTTAATTAAGTAAGGCCGTCGGTTCCTCTTAATTTATTACTTATTTTTTATAAAAACGTCCTCTTATTAAGTAGCCCGTAGTTAACTTATTATTAATAACCCCTCCTTATTAAATACTATTTTAAGTACTTTTATTATATTAAAGTTTTATAAAATAAGTAATTTATAATTTATAGTTCTAATAATAAGTTTAAGTAGCTTTTTAAATATTATATTATAATTTTAATACCCTAAGCTTATAGCCCCGTTATACTTCTCGAAGTACTCTTTAGAGCTCCCTTAAACCGGAGCTCCTAACCTCTTTTATTTACTTTTTTATATTATTATTAACTTTATTTTTAAAATATTTACTATTCCTTTTACTTAAGAGCTACTCTTATAACTCGTTCTTATTATTACGGCTAGCTAGTCGTAGTAAGTATATTAATAAAAGTTAAGGCTATAAGTACTAAGTAAATAGTATTATAATTATAAATAGCTTTTTTAAAGCTATATTTATAAGTCGTAGGGTAAGTAAGGTTTTAGTAATTAATCGTAGTTTTATTAAAAGAGGTTCTTAATAAAAATAGCTAAAAATAATCGTAAGATTTAATACTAAGTTAATTATTAAAAAAGCTATAAGAAGTCTATCCTTAAGCCCGGCTTAAGTTTATATTATATATAAATCTCGTTTTTAAATATATCTTTTATAACGTCCCTATTTATTATTATTTAACTATTTATTAAACGGTTGTCCGTTTTATTTATTTATAATCGTCCGTCCTATTTATTTATGGGCATTCGTTCTTTATTTTATTATATAATCGTAATTATATAACTTATTTATAGTTTTTTTATTTTAAGAGGAGTTATTTTAAGTCCGTACTTTTATATATATAATATAATAGTTACTATAGGTCCTATAGGGCGAGGCCCTAGCCTTATTATACGTATTAAGTTATAATATTAGTTTCTCTTTTTAAAGGTCTAGTCCTTTAGGCTTATAAATAAGTCGTCTATTCCTAAGTTAAGGGATCGTTAAGTATTTTTTTAAAATGTACTAATATGATATTAAGTCGAATTAAAAAATCGAAATTTTTAATAGCTACGTCTCGTTATAAATTATTACGTATTATTCGTTTTTTTAATAAAAATATAAAAATAATACTTTATTTAAATTATCGCTCGCGAGGGGTCCGTTACTTAGTTCTTTTTAATTCCGAAGTTTATAAAATATACTATTATTTAAGTATTTTATATAATACTTCTACTAACGCTATTTATATTTATAAGTATTATATTTTTATTTATTAAGTTTTAGCTAATTAAGTATAGTTAGTTAGTTAGTAACGGAGTTTAATTATCTTAATTATAAAAAAGAAATAGAAAAGTTATAGTTTTAAAAAAGAGCTACGGAGTTATAAAAAAAGGCTAAGGCTTATTAATAAGCTTAGGCTAAGTTAAATAAGTCGTTATCTAAATTAAAACGTTTTTATTTTTAAAAGCGAATAGTATTTAAAAAGAGTTGGATTATATTAGAGGAGTTTTTTAAAGATTTTAAAAATACTTTTTTAGTAGCCCGTAAAGTATAAACTAATAATATTTTTAAGATTATTAATTAAGACGTCGTAATAGCTAAGAGTTCTAAATTTAATTTTAATTTTAATACTCCTCGAGAAGTTATTAAGAGTTCTAGAGGTTCGTAATAGGTTCCTATATATTTCTTTTATATCCGTAGTTTTTTTATTTAATAAGATATTCCTTTTTATTATCCTTTATTCTATAATTAATAATTCGTTTAACTTTATATTCTAATTAGTTTAGTTTAATAATAA